GCCCCCCCCCCCCCCCCCCCCACTACCAGAGTCAGAAGGTGATCGTTGTTGGCTTGTTAGTACCATGGATGGATGACTGAACGGCTTGATGACCACAAAGAGGCGCAAAACAAGGATCCAGAAATGATCAAACAGATAAAAACAACCACCAATAGAGACACAAAACGAGCACAAAAAGACACAAAACCACCACAGAGAGATAAAAGATGACCACAAAGAGATGCAAACAACAAGGAGAAAGTCTTGCAGCATTGTAGGAGTGGTTGGGGTCTAATCTTATCATAATCCATCCATGGGTGTAGGCTATTTGGAGCTACTATATTAAACAACAGCTGTTTATTGATATTATTTCATCCTAGTATATCTAAAGTTGTATATTTGGCATTAATTCATTGCGATGAATAAACAATGTAGCTATTAATAATGTAGTTTATTACTGCCAAGAACCAACATGTCCTCCACACTTCTCAACCCGCCCCTGCTCACCAGAGGGGGCAGCCAGCTTCTGACCCAGGACCAATGTCTTCTAGAGTTACAGGACGCCATGTGTCTGTTATGAGCTATTGAGTCATCCTTCAGCACTGCAGGGCGACAGAAAAGCAAAGTCACCGTTTCATCATCAGGCTGTTTTTTTTTTTTTTTTTTTTTTTAACCGTCTTGTTTTTGCATCCAGCAGAACAAGAGCGACATTGTGATGCACACGCGTCACATGGGGCGGACGGATGAAAACAGCAGCAGCGGGGCAGGACGGCGGTCGCTCGGGGGCCAGCGTGTGCTCCGCAGACACACACAGAGACAGTTGTGTGAAAGTCTCGTCAGCTGATAGCTCCAGTTGGGCGGCTGAGTTAATCCCATTGTCTGGCTTACATAATTCACCCCGAGCGACCTGCTGTTGACCCACTTTCTTTGAAAGCACCGAACGTCAGCCTTTGAACAGTTGGTCCTTTTTCTCCAAGGCTGTTCAAAATGTGAAATCAGGTGGTTGTTGACTTCGCCCGTGCATCGTGGGAAGATTGACCTCTTTATAGCAAAAATGCAAAGAGGAGAAGAGACAGAGAGGACTACAGTGTAGCCGTAACGCTCTCATAGACACATTGATATAGATCCCTATTCATGCTCTTAATCACACATACACGGTATGCTTCTCTGTCAGACTCTGGGGCTTTCAAAGCTGGCAAGGCGGCATGCACATGGTTTTTGGCTGCATGCCTCGATCCGGCATCTTGGCTCACCTTTCCTCGGTTTCTGCTTTGTGCATATGTGTGTGTGTGTGTGTGTGTGTGTACTGCTTCACAGGCTAACTGCTGAAGATGGATGATTCACTATGCTCAGCTAATCATTGCTTAGATATTGGGACAAATATAAAACAGTGTCAGCTAATATCTAGCAACAGGTTATATTTGTCTCTTTTTTATGTTTGAGTCCAGATCTTTGTGTGTATGTGTGTGTGTGTGTGTGCAGGATGCTCCTGTTGTTTATCAATGCTTTATGATAATGCACAGTAATGCCTATCTACGTGAGAGCAAGAATGAGTCGAACTGTCCGACTGGGAGTGTGCAGTACATTGAGTTTATGACTGGTGTGGTATTAAGGATTTACAGATTCAGCACTCTTCAGTTGTGCTGATTTGGAGTCAGGCAAACATGTGTCACGTAAGGTGCACGTGTGGAAGATCTAAAAAGACAAATGAAACTTGAGCTTTCCCCATGTTGACCGACACATCTGGGTGTTAAGTGCTTTGTCTTTAACCAACCTGACTGCGTCTTCTCGTTTGTCTTTCCTCAGAGTCTATCGAGCATACAGGAGAGAAGGGTAAGTGTTTCGTAGTGCTGTTTGACATCGAGAGGAATCACAAGCGTCTTCAGCTGGTTATTCATATTCAATGACGCTGCAAACTGTGAGTAAACGGTTAAGTGCACCCGACTCATGATGGATGATGACGGCCTGTTTCCGTTTCTCTGCCTCCAGTGATATACTTGCTGGTGTATCATGTCATCTTCATCATGTTTGTGTGGGCGTACTGGCAGACCATCTTCACCAGGCCCATGAACCCCCTGAAGGAGGTGAGTGTGTCCGTCTGCGACTCAGCGGTTTTCTTTTTTCCTCCATCGGGGAGGATGAGGCATAGCGGGGAAGTGCAGATGTAGGTTACTGCCTCCCCGTGTGATTTAACTAATAACACGTTCCAGTGGAAGTGCCTGGAGCTGCACAGTAATGGCTCTGATCCTGACCACAGCACATGCATCTGAGAAATGCCCCCTTTGCATTTCGGCTTTAACCGAGGCGTGCAATCGGCCCATATGAAAGCTTCTCCTCGCGAGATGTTATCGTCGGATCACATGAGGTTTCGAGATAGTGATAAAAGTCATACTTCACGTGTCCTCCTGCGCTGTTTGTCATCGTCAGAGTTATTTCTGTTTCCAGTGTTCAATCACAAACCGTCGGAGTGGCTGACAGTAATATCTCAGCGCTGTGCTGCTTTGCCTGCTGGGGCAGAAAGAACCAAAACAAATGGAAGATACAGAAATTCGCTGCCTACTGAGCTGCGGCTTCACAGCGACAGACATCACTGCATTACTGAAACTAACACGGCTTGTAGACAAAGGATTTGACTCTGTCAGGATGCCACTGCTTGCAGATTGAGCTTTCGATATATATCACGGTTGTTGTTTGTCTTTCCCTCTGTGTTCGGCCCTTCACAGTTTCACCTGTCCTTCTCTGACAAAGAGCTGCTGGAGCGTGAAGACCGGGGGGAGTCTCAGCAGGAGATCTTGAGGAGGATAGCCAGGGATCTGCCCATCTACACCCGCACCAACTCTGGAGGTAGAGTGCAGCACACACGGGAGCAGCTCTCTGAGCTCCTTTTCACCCCCCGTCACATCGTCACATGGTCAAGTGTTGGAGCTGCTGTTTGAGGGCCGTGTGATTGAATCGGCTGTGTCTCCCCAGCAATCCGTTTCTGTGACCGCTGCCAGCTGCTGAAGCCTGATCGATGTCACCATTGTTCAGTCTGTGATAAGTAAGGCTCTCTATAGAGAACAGACCACACCATGCATTGAATTCTGGCAGGCAGAGTAAGATTCAATTACACTGACGTCTGACCCTGCTGTGTTACAGATGCATCCTGAAGATGGATCACCACTGCCCATGGTACGTAGCGGCAATAGGGGGTTTAAACAAATATCAGTGACACTGCACTCACACGGTGTTGTTAGTTTATCATTTCCTTTTTTATTACAGGCCCGACAGGCTTCTTGGTATCATTATTCCAGTTAACAGGACTCGTAAACACACATCACATTGGAGGCACAAAGAGCTTGTTCACTGTAACCTCTCATTCCGCCAGGTGACACATTTTGGCAGCAGAGGGAGACAAAGCAAATCTGATTCCAGCTGGCATTGTTTTTTTGCCAAACGTGATCGGTTTGTCTGCTCTCTTTGCAACAATAATGTGTGGGAGAAAATCACGAAAGAGTCTGAAAGTGCTGGTGTCCAAAACTGGTCCCTGATTGGCTGAGAATACCAGGTCCTCTGATAATGCACATGAAACAAACCTGTTGATAGAGGGGTTTTCTCGTAAAGATCCGCCAAACATTTGTGATGCATTTACCTGTTTTTCAGCCCAAAGCAGTTTGGAAAATGGGTTGTTTAAAATAATAAAAAAAAGTCCTGGAATAGTTGTGTGCACAAACACCCCATCCCCAATATTTACTGCTCTTATGCACTTCTGCTCAAATACCTCTTGTATCTCTGCACTTAGTAAAGATTTGAACGCGTACTAATGACGACACTCCCACACTGACCTTGTCGCAGGGTGAACAACTGCGTGGGATTCTCCAACTACAAGTTTTTCATGCTGTTCTTGGCGTATTCGCTGCTCTACTGCCTTTTTATAACTGCTACAGATCTTCAGTACTTCGTTAAGTTTTGGCTGGTAAGTACGGCTTGACCAGTAGAACACAAATCATTCATTATATTGTGTGTTTTTTTTTTGGGGGGGGGGGGGTGGGGTTAGCACAAAATACATCCAATTAAAAATCTGAATGGACTTTTGAAAACATGCATTCTGTGGTATTTGATTATTGTTTTTTTCACAAGGCTGGAGGTAGAGCACATTTCCGTCTGAGGGAATACCTGGTATGAACCAACCAACTGCTGTAGTTAGTGGGATAGAAACTGCTAAATAAGTTCCCATAGAACTCTAGTAGAACAGAAATATCTCAGATCCCGCTCAGCCTCGGAGTGTCTTGGTGTCCACTCTGTTTTCAGTTGTGTTGAATGTCTGGTTGCTGTCCCCCCCCCCTCCCTCAGAACGGCCTCCCAGACACTCAGGCCAAGTTCCACATCCTGTTCCTCTTCTTCTCGGCCTCCATGTTCTCAGTCAGCCTGGCTTCACTTTTAATCTATCACTGCTGGCTCGTCTGCAAGAACAGATCCACCCTCGGTAGGTGGCGTACACTTCATGTATGTGTGTGTTCTGTTTGTGGATGCAGTGATTACACATCCTCTGTTGTACAGCTGCTGGGTGGGGTAGTCTCAGTCTGCTACCAGTGTCGTCTTCGCTCTAACGATGAAGGCTGCTTCGTTGCATTTTTCCCACCATCAGTCACCGGCCGTCCTCATCAGCGCAGTGATTTGATGAGCCACTCTGGGCCGTTATCAGACGGAGCAGTTTCTCATTATGCGTGCACAGTGGCACACTTTGTTGGCGCGTCGCGGAGACTGGATTATCCATAGGAGTATGTTACAGTGTAATGCAAAGACACAAGGCTCAGAGTGGTAAGCAGCTTAGTAACAGGCACTGCTAGGAAGAGAAGTCACACATGGCGGCACAGTCTCAGATCTGCTTCTCCTGCGCAACAAAGACACTTTTCATTCAGACTTGTTCCACTGACGCAGCCGTGCAGCGGGAGTCGTTCATGTGCTGTGTGAATGAGCTCCTGCTAATAGTCTGAATAATAGATTATATAGAGACGGAGTGGGAGGGCTGCATTTATTCATCTTCCTCTTCACTGACTCTTCTTCTCCACGTGTGTCCTCTCAGAGGCTGTGCGTGCTCCGGTGTTCCGCCACGGCACCGATAAGAGCGGTTTCAGTCTGGGCTTCAGTAAGAACTTCCGCCAGGTCTTTGGGGATGAAGTTAAATACTGGCCTGTTCCTGTTTTCTCCGGGTAAGTTCTTATGGGCATTTGTCAAAGGCATTCAGAAGAAAATGTCTGCAAAGACTCAAGGAGGGCAAACTAAAGAGAATCAGATAACACAAGTCTATGTGTTAATTATTTAGAATTTGCCCCGCCGGCTTGTTTGACAGTTTAGGAGCCCCGATCATCTGTCATTTTGAGTCTAGACTGAAGGACGAGCAGGTCAGAGACTTCAGGTTTGGTTTCAAGAACCACAACTCAGTGCAACTGCTGACTAAAGATGAGATCAGTAAAGCTTATAGGTTATATATCATATGTTAAAATTCTAATGCTGAAGTGTTTTAAAGCCTCAATTGCATCTTTAACTAGACAGGTGCACTCAGTAGAGTGCAGATCTCCGCCAGGTGTTGTCTGCATCGACCACTGCTGCTGTGATTGAATGAATACAACCCACAATTGGCCAACCCCCCATCTACACACTATTGGACTGTGAAGCGTCGTAAAAACACACTTAATTCAAACTTAAAAACAAGTGGCAATGTATGCAGACAATCGACTCCAAGTCATTGTATCAGACACGTCATATGTCAATCTTGCCAACAACTAAATTAAACTTACCAAGCTGTATACCCGCGTAGCAGCGGCTGAGTTGAGGAGTGTCCTGGTAGCTCCGTTAGCTGTTAGCCAAACACATCGCAAACTATTATCCCCACGGTGTAGGCGCAGAATAGCGGCTGGGGGTCGGTGATGCACTCAGCTGTGTTATCTGGTTAGGAGTAGTGAGTGAGGAGTCAGCAGGCAGTCGATGGCAGTATAAAACAGGAAATAAAAGGTGTTTTGAGAAAGTGTAAGACACCGCAACCACGAGAGATCCTTGAGCATGCAGCCATAACTTGCCACCCAAAATATTATGCAGTTTGCTGCAGCAGAATGCAAGATTAGCCGTGGACAGACACAGAGGGGCACACTCACAGACGCACTCACGCGAGCGATCGCATGATCCACCCGGCGGAGATAACTATAACTGCCAATCAGCATTAATATTCACAGCAAAGGTCCACGTTTTCTTCACAAAATGCTTCTGTAGTTCAAACAATCTTACTCAGGATGTCAGAGAAGTTGTGAATGAATGAAGTCACTCAGGGATTAGAGAGCGCTGTCACTTAGTTTGAAACAAAATGGTTCAAAAGAGGGTTTAAGTCCCCGGGGAGACGAGCGAGCATGGGCTTCAGTAAACAACAACATCACCACAGCAGTGAATTCATGCAGAAGCTCCAGCTTTGCAAATATTAGTAATTCATGCTGACAGAATGAATGATATTATGAATATACGGCTTTCTGGCAACCACAGTCCAATTATTAAAACATAAACCCACATTTTCTAATGTTGGAACAAAACACTGTTGATGTGAAAAACAAATTTCAGATCCAGATCCAAATATGGCTCTTTATGACTCTTCTCTATTTTGTGATAATAAACTATGTATATACTATGTTTTAGCATTTACCATTATCCCATAATTGCCACTGGTAGACTCACTTTAATATCATTTCCACATACATAAAATAAAATACACAATGATTGATTCTATTGATGCTCATAAATATCACCTTCAAATCACAGAATTATTCTGTTATTTTTCTTTTCCGCTGGCTTTCCAGTTTAGGTGACGGGTGCTCGTTCCCAACCTGTCTGGTGAATCTGGACCCGGAGCAGCCCTCGTCATCGCCCGCTGGCTCCAACCCTGCCAACAAGAGGTGAGTAAAACATGAAGGAAACAACAGTAAAGTACAGAGTTGCACACCTGCTAGCCAGCCTCTATATAGTGGTTTATTAACCCTGTGAGTTTAATGATGCAGGAGAATCACCTTGCGGCAGTTATGGCCTTGCAGATTTAAATTAATCAGTCGGATCAGATTTAGGACTAATTTATTCAAAGGAGGAAGTGGGCCTAGAAATCATCCCTGCTTAAGTGTACCTGTGTGTTTCCAGTGCAGCAGAAGGCCACCAGTTCCCCTCCAGGCCCCTGACAGAGTCTCAGAGTCGACTGCTCACCAGCACCCCCTCCTGGTCAGAGAGTGACGGTGCAACAGACAGGAAGGGTAAGATAGTGTTCTTATACTCCTTATAATGGGTTTATATAGCCGCTTGCTTACATATTTTTTTGTATTTTGAATTATTATTAAATCTGATGATTACTTAAAAGAGACATATTATGCTCATTTATTCATACTTGTGTTTTGGGTTTCTTCTAGAGCATGTTTACATGCTTTAATGTTCAAAAAACATATTTCTCTCACACTGTCTGTCTGAACATGAATTCACCCTCTCCCTGAAATGCTCAGTTTCAACAGGCTTGGTTCCATCTTTACTTCCTGTCAGCTGATGTCATTCACACACAGTGCAACCAGACATAAACTGGGACACATTTAGAATGTTTCCGTTTCAAACTGTGGCCTCTACATTGAATAGTTGTGGACCTGCTTTATAATAAATATATAAAAACAAAAATGAACATCTCACTTTTTCCAATATGGGACCTTTATATGGGAAATGACATGTGCTTGTTCAGGTGCCAGTAACTCGGGGATGACCATAGAAAATGAGGCGTAACCAGTCAGAGATAGAGGAGACGCCTTCCACCCAGAAGAAAAGTGAGTTTACAGTCATGTAGAAGCTATCCACACACATCAGGATAAAAAGTCAACATCTGTTACCATGTGTGTGTCATCCTACAGGTCAACGCCGCCCCCCCCCCCATCCTCGTTATTTCAGCGTGACGTGGTGGTGACAGCATCAATATTTGTTGTTTTCCGTACCGCACCCTGCTCCGGAGAGCTTTACCTGACTGACATCTCCTAAAGCAGAGGAAGAAAAATCATCATCATCATCAGTATTACTCTTATCAGCAACCATGTCTGCTGCCATCTGATAGTATTTGGGCTACAGAAGACGATCCCATTTCCTTTTGTTTGTACAGGAAGAAGCACAGAGCAGCAATGGAAGGGACTGTTTTGCACTTTGCATACTAGGAGATGAAATCTGAGCTGCTTTCGCGTGTTACCGTTCATGTAACAGAAACTCTCAGAATTATTTACACGATTTCTTGTTTAACGTTTTTCGCGGCTTAGCGCATTAATAAATGGTGTTATAAGTTTGCCAAATGTTTGCACATTCAGTATAGATTAGTAGTGGTGATAATGTGATGTAACTGATATTTCTTTAGCCATTTTCTTTTTCCAGTGAAGGATTTTGTTTTTCTTCCCTCATCCACCATGTTGAGTGTCGTGGAAGTTGAACCGATGCATGCTCTCATCTCAGGATGTCAACACAAACACACCTTGTTGTAGTGAACTGTACCTCAAGATATTCTCCCCTTTGCTTGGATAAAGAAAAGAAAAAAAACAAGTGTAGTGATGAGTAATCCCATTTGAATAAGGGCTCTTCTGATATAGCATGAGTGAGGATGTTGCTGTCACACTGAAACACCTGAAAGCTGGTGCTGCCAAATATCTAAACCGCTGTCTGGTAGCCTACAGTACACAAGCAACGCTGCAGATCTGCTCCCCATCAAACAGCAGACACGGTCGAGTGTTTTTCTAACTCGCAAAACAAAGTTGTGGATCCGCTGCAGAGCAAAAACAGAGAAAACAGCTGCTTTGAACGGTATATTTTCAACCGTCACTGACAATTACTTGGTAGAATGTATGCTTGTTTAAAACAAAAAAAAAGCTTCATCGTGACAGCCAGTGTCAATCTCTATTTTTCTATTCTTCTGTCTGTGTGACTCGAGAGACGATATGGACGTGTGAGGCGATGTACTGTACAGTTGTGCTGCCTTATAAGAATAAAATGAGCTCATCTTCAACGCTTTGTCGCACATTGGGAGTCATTAAAGGGATGCGACGGTCATGTTATGGTAGAAAAGTTTCAAGCCTTTATTTACAAAATAATCTAAAAACAATCCTCTTTGCATATTCTTTGACTCCGTTACAGTGTGAAAGATGTGCTGCAGAAAGGAAAAGTGTTTGCGGCTCAGCGAGGTTAATAAAATCTCGTTGCTGCCATTCGACACACACACCTATGGAAGTTCAGGATACTGCTATCAACAACACGGCATTAATTCAAACACTCTAGTACATGCGGCTTGTCTACGCAGCATGAATGAACCTTAGAGCGACACAAAACTAAACTATAATTCAGAGGCAAGTGAAAAGAACTCCACTGGAACAAAAAGATGCATGTTCAGTAAAAGCTTTTTGGGGCTTTTATCACAACACTAAAACTCTGCATAACCTCAATTTCAATTAAAAGTCTTTACTCTCAACAGAGTAGTTCAGGGTAACCTCCGCATGTCTTACTGCAGGAGAGTCTTTATAATTGAGTCTTTTTCAAGGTCTGGTGGAGTTGGTTGAAATCATTGCAAGACCATGTAGAGGGCTCCTATGTGCTTGTGTCAATGAGGGTGTGTATATGCACAAATAATCCATAATCCTTCAATGAAAACCATGTGTATCTAGTACATGTTGTATATATCCATGTATGTAGCCATTCTTAGCATTATCATGAATACAAACAGTAAAAAAAAGGCAACTAAAAGTAAGTTTTAGTATCCAGTCTACATACCGCATAAGCAGAAAACACCAGCGTAGTTATCTTAAGGCTCATCACAGTGGGATTAGAGCTTATTCAGGTCATTACAAACATCTTTATATGAACGAATGAGGAAAAAGGAAGAAGTATTCACGTGTGCATAAACACTGACTGAGAGCTCCCGTTCTCGCTACCAGAACAGGAGATCCGATGACAGATGGCGAGCGTACCGACATGCGGCGCCTCGGTGTTGAGCGGAGCATCTGCTCGATGTCAGACCAGCGGCACAATAAATTAAAGGTTAAAAGAGAAGAACGCAGCTGATATTAAGGCCGAGCGTGCCGAGAGCGCTTCCTGTGTGACGCTCACGATGTGAAACGGGGACCGGAGAGAAGGCAACAAAGACAATGGAAACTTTTGTTCAGCTTTCCATATAAAATCAGGTTGGGGCTTTAAAGTGCAAAACATTTCTACATAACATTTTAGGAGAACTAAAATCCCGTCTTTTCAATGTTAAATTCAACCGATCCAACCGGAACCTGTACACTGCTTGGTAGGAATACAGGACTGACCTCACACAGAGTTTACCATCATACTCAGTTGTCTAAGGTGAGCAGGGCCTATGAGAAGCAGCTTGTTAAATGATGTGTGTATGCTTTGTGTTCTTCCGTCGTCATCATCATCGTCCGTTTGACGGAGCTCGGCCTCGGCTCCGCACTGATTGTGCATGTGACCCACGAGGGGGTGGGGTGGGGTGTGGGGGGATTTCGCAGTGATGTCACGACTGCTGCTTGTTGGCCTCCTCTTCGTACGCGTTCCCCGTCCCGTTCTGGACGTACGTGGAGCCGGAGCCCAGCCCATACAAGTGGCCGCAGTACTTTGCATCATCGATGTGATCCTCGAAGAACATCTGTGGGAGAGGTTAAAGAACTACTGAGAACAGACGCGTTCACTTAATATCAATATCAGTATTAAATGCACAATCGCTTTTTATTTCCTATCCTTCTGCTAGCATCATCCTGTGAAATACCGCCATTGGTGTGTTCCTTCTCAGCTATACAGTTGTGTGAAAAAGTGTTTGCCCCCTTCCTGATTCCATATTTTTTTGCATGTTTGTCACACTTAAATGTTTCAGATCATCAAACAAATTTAAATATTAGACAAAGATAACAAGTAAACACAAAATGCAGTTTTTAAATGAAGGTTTTTATTATTAAGGGGAAAAACAAAATCCAAACCTACATGGCCCTGTGTGAAAAAGTGATTGCCCCCCCCTGTCAAAACATAAATTAACTGTGGTTTATCACATCTTTGGAAAGCTGAGTTCAATTTCTCTAGCCACACCCAGGCCTGATTACTGCCACACCTGTTCTCAATCAAGAAATCACTTAAATAGGACCTGCCTGACAAAGTGAGGTAGACCAAAAGATCCTCAAAAGCTAGACATCATGCTGCGATCCAAAGAAATTCAGGAACAAATGAGAAACAAAGTAATTGAGATCCATCAGTCTGGAAAAGGTTACAAAGCCATTTCTAAAGCTTTGGGACTCCAGCGAACCACAGTGAGAGCCATTATCCACAAATGGCGAAAACATGGAACAGTGGTGAACCTTCGCAGGAGTGGCCGGCCGACCAAAATTACCCCAAGAGCGCAGCGACGACTCATCCAAGAGGTCACAAAAGACCCCAGAACAAGATCCAAAGAACTGCAGGCCTCACTTGCCTCAATTAAGATCAGTGTTCATGACTCCACCATAAGAAAGAGACTGGGCAAAAATGGCCTGCATGGCAGAGTTCCAAGATGAAAACCACTGCTGAGCAAAAAGAACATAAAGGCTCGTCTCAGTTTTGCCAGAAAACATCTTGATGATCCCCAAGACTTTTGGGAAAATACTCTGTGGACTGACGAGACAAAAGTTGAACTTTTGGAAGGTGTATGTCCCATTACATCTGGCGTAAAAGTAACAAGGCATTTCAGAAAAGGCACATCATACCAACAGTAAAATATGGTGGTGGTAGTGTGATGGTCTGGGGCTGTTTTGCTGCTTCAGGACCTGGAAGACTTGCTGTGGTAAATGGAACCATGAATTCTGCTGTCTACCAACAAATCCTGAAGGAGAATGTCCGGCCATCTGTTCGTGACCTCAAGCTGAAGCGCACTTGGGTTCTGCAGCAGGACAATGATCCAAAACACACCAGCAAGTCCACCTCTGAATGGCTTAAGAAAAACAAAATGAAGACTTTGGAGTGGCCTAGTCAAAGTCCCGACCTGACTCCGATTGAGATGCTGTGGCATGACCTTAAAAAGGCGGTTCATGCTCGAAAACCCTCCAATGTGGCTGAATTACAACAATTCTGCAAAGATGAGTGGGCCAAAATTCCTCTACAGCGCTGTAAAAGACTCATTGCCAGTTATCGCAAACGCTTGATTGCAGTTGTTGCTGCCAAGGGTGGCCCAACCAGTTATTAGGTTTAGGGGGCAATCACTTTTTCACACAGGGCCATGTAGGTTTGGATTTTTTTTCCCCCTTAATAATAAAAACCTTCATTTAAAAACTGCATTTTGTGTTTACTTGTGTTATCTTTGTCTAATATTTAAATTTGTTTGATGATCTGAAACATTTAAGTGTGACAAACATGCAAAAAAATAAGAAATCAGGAAGGGGGCAAACACTTTTTCACACAACTGTATGTGGTGGGGATTTATACTTGCACAGTGATTAAGATCGAATCGAATAAACCTGTCAACAGAATTTGCTGCTATTTTTATTGTTGTAACTTAAATGTATTTTGGGTTTTGGACTGTCGGCAGAACAATCAAATCAATTACATTGGTTTCGCAAAGCGGATCATTTGAACTCATCAGATAGAGAGTTCGTTAAAAATAATTATTCAATCGTCTGCTAATTCTGCTCTGTGTCCCCTGAGGATGCCCCTTTCTCAACAAACACTGGTCCCTTCGTTCAGACGTGGTATATGTAACATTAATGGCTTCATCCATATAGCGTATTGTCATTCAGACACAAGTGACTTGATGTTTCTCACGGCTTCATTCAGGCTCAGGAGTACATTTCTGGAAAAGAGCGACATGCTCACATTTGCCACCTGGTGAGCAGAAGAAATAGAGGTGAGTTTAAAATGTTACAGCGAAGAAGAAGGATGTTTTCTGATCTCTCTGTCCGGCTGCAACGCTGACGGATTTTAAAAGATATTTTGCTGTTGAAGCCTTAATGACCGTCGTGAGCGTGAGGGAAGCTAGCCGCCTCTTCTCATATTGAATCCACTAATACAATCTAACATCAATTTCATCATTTAACATTAATAGAGAGTCAATTGTGCTGCCTGTTTTCTAACAGCGACAGTGCAGAAACACTGAACAGCAACAAGTTGGGACTCGTTCGTTCTTATTTGCTCACATACAGTGTGCACAACTTGTTACTGGGTATTCATCCATGCAGTTGACGTGAATAAACATTGAAAAATATCAGGAGAGACTTTTTTCTTTCGTTTTTTACTTCTTTCGCCACGATTGCATTATGAGAGGAAAAAAACGTTTTCTCCACTGATCTGATATGTGAAACATCCTCAAGAACTCTCGCAGTGTTTCACAGTTAAAGTGATTTTGAGCATCAGAGATGATAGCTGTGATACCTTTGCTGAAGTGATCACTCTCTCTCTCTGCGTGTTTTACCTTGTGCTGCTGCAGCCTTTGTCAATCTGAAGCCATTCTATTCAGACCTCGCAAATGTGAAAAATGTGACCACGGTGCTTATTCAGACACGAGACTCACGTGTTAAAATGCCCTCAGATTAACGTGAAGGGGCGAAGGTCTGAAGTCAGGGCGCCTACCTCTCTCATCTTGAAGAAAGCCATGCCTGTGAGTAGCGAGTCAGAGCCAGCCTGGTGCTGCGGTCCGATCCTCTCCAGCTCCAGCTGCTCAGCTACTTCCTGCAGCCCGCCCTGAAAGCAAAAAACAAAAAACGCCGTCAAGTCACTCGAGAGGCATGCTTCTAGTCAAAGTAAAACTCGCAGCACTCACAGGAGATCACAACAGACATCAAGGTGTGAAGCTTTAAATGAATAAAACAGGAGATACTCTGTGCTACCTGCTGAAATATTTATTGAGGTACCTTCAGGTTTTTACAACTCTTCATGAGGTACTTGACATCATAAATGACTGGAAAGTACAAGCGAAGAATCTCAAAGAAGTCCACCTCCTCCTCAGGCAGGTTAGCGTTGGACAGAATCTTGATCAGGTATCCAAAGTCATAGCCACTACAAAACACATATACACAAACACATGCAAACCTTTTAACTAGGTTTCCTTTTGGTTTGTATTTAAAAGAGAACATAGCAGGAGGCTTCGAGAGATTTCGTCACTTCCAATCTGCCATGACACAAAGAGAATTAAAGAGAGGCAGACTGTCTTTACCTGCACATGCAAGGGCAACTAAATACACAAACACACTGCTTCTTCCCCCGAAATAGACTTTGTGATTAGCCAAGCATTCTACCAGGCTAAACAACGATGAACAACATGTCCAGTTTGTTCACAACAGACCAATTATCCAATGTGATTAACGGTTAATTCACAATTGAAACCATTGAAAATTAGGATGAGTTAAAGAAATACGATGATAAAAACAGAACAAAGTAAGGTAAATAGAAGCAACGTGACATTAAAGCCTGTTGGTGAAGGTGTGTTCTAAATACCTGAACGATGACAGAGGTGTTTCAAACCTAAGCTTTGTTTATTTTCCAAAGCCTGGTTACCTTTAGCCTCAGTTTGCCATGGAGACACAGTGGGAAACTGAGTATGAAATGAAGATGTTAAGCAGCAGATTGTAGAAAATACTGGGTTAAAAAACAAAAAAAAAAACAAAGAGTTGCTATTCACTAGAGACCAATATAAAAAGTGTTCATTGCACTTGAGCAGCAAATTGAATAGGAAATTTCAACGGGATATTTACTTGTTTTAACGTGTGCGTAGCAAAACGACCACAGTTCTGCGTAACATCTTACTTCTCACTAACACACAAAGACAAAAAACAAACCAAAAGAAATTTAAACTTTTTTTTTTTTTTTTTTAACAACACATATCATTAGTAAACATTTAAAGACACAGGAGGATGTCTGCGTGCAGACGTGACAGAATATTCCATACATGGAGCAATAACATGCTGTGGCGGTGAGCCAAACAGTAAAATGATGCCGGGATAAACAATGTGTTTCTGATTAGTGCACGCGGTCCCATAAGTGCTTGTTTATTAACTGACGTGCAAAGAGTGAAAGTAAGAGGTGTAGTACCTGAGTCACACAACTTGTAATTTCTGTAAATACTGTGGGCAAAACGAGTAGGATTCCTGTCACTATGCAGCTTTCTATAACTGACTGCATGCGAAAAAACAGCAACTAATTGCAAAGAAAGCTGAATACCTGTGGAAAGACAGCCACCTGACGCCGTCACAGAGCACCACCCCTGATGTCATCAGCAGCTCTGCAAAGTACAGCGTCTCGATGCCTTCGTCCTCGTGCTTCTTGAACTGAATCCCTGAAGTGGTCAGGAGCTCAATGGAGTCCTGCGCGTACATGTCTTCTCTGAAGACAAAAGACGTGTCACAGCGTCATCATCTCCACCCACAGAAGACAGCCGAGTAGGTATGACAGCAGCAAGTAGACGTCATAATTGTAAAAGTGGTGATTCGTACTGTCTGAGGTGTTGAGCTCAGTCAGTTCTTGTGAAAAAGCGTATGAGAAGCACAAAAGTCATCTTACGTGAGGTTAAACTTAAAATTGAACTGCCACGTTGATGTTCCCGGAGGGTATTCGCCCTGTTCGTTCATAAAAGTGAGGCCCAGCTGGATTATCTTGAGCAAATCCACATTGCAGCGCAGTAGCTGGTACTGATAGTCGGCGTTGCTCCTGAACTCTCCGATTGGTCTGGCTACCACACCTGGAAACTCTGTGTCCTGTAAAGAAGCACAAGACAACGAGCTCTTTATGCAGGACCAGAAACCTGGCTGCGTGAGACCATCTTCAAGCCTCCAGGAGCATCACTCACCATAGCGATGTAGTTGTATTTTCGGATGACATGTCGGATCCTCTTCAGCTCCTCCTCCAGGTTGTTGGCCCAAACCTCACATATTTTTTGGTTGTGATCCACAGTAGCAGCGGGCATAGTGCCACTTCATGTAATGAGATCGATGCAAGAAAGGGGAAGAAGAAGAAGAAAGAGAGACAGCTGGTTCACAGACCTTCCCCAACACCTGCTGACCTGTGACAGACCAAAGGATGAGAGGTGGCAGGACAAAGGCATACAGCACACGAACCCAAGAAACACTGACACATCATTTTATCTAAATAACACGTTATAATATGCATTATATCATATATATAAATTGCATGAGAAGATACAACCTGCTCTGGGGATCAAATCAGAAGTCTCAACATAAGGGAAGCTAGTCTGTGCTTCCTCTCGTCTGGGATACTTCACATGCACGCAGACAGACGTGTTACCAGCCGAGTGAGGGCGCGCGGGGCGTGTTTGGCTGGACGCTGTTAACATTAGCTCGTCGCAGGCAGGTTTTCAGCAGCACTTTGGGCTAGCTTGCTTACTTGTAGCAGTTAGCAGCAGGCTCCACACTAAGCTACATGAACAGGACTCAGGTGGGGAGGCTGTGTGCAGCCTCACCGCACTTCACAGCTAGCTGGACGGATACATAAGAGTGTGTGCGATGCATGAAAGAGACTAGTAACTATAGCTCTGCACACACACATAGACAGACACACACTCAGCGCCACTTTGATACAGCAAAGCTCACTGCAGCGTCGTGAACTTACCGTGTCCCCAAACCGGGCGTGTGTGTGTTTAAGTGTGTACTATCTGGAAGCTGGTAATTTGTTCTACGTTATTGTTTCGGGGGAGTTTTCCGCTAACTTTTAAATAGTTTATATTCAGCAATGTATCGATGTCAACCCACGGCTGCCATCACAGTTGAGCCTACAACACGACGTCATCACGTAAAACAGAAACGTGCGCATGCATGTAAGCGTGGCGGAATGGTCGGCGTCCTATTTGTTCAGTGCTCCCGCTTCAATAACTGAGAAAGAAAACCTTTTGGTAAATATCTAATTTGTGTTTGAACAAGTTATTACATGAAAGACTTTATCAACTTGATATACTTTTAAAAATTGGACCAGCCATCACAACCTGTTATCCCATTTATTATATTACACACGCACTGTCCCACAGATAACAAGGTAAACGTGTTTGACTGGAACTACTTTCTACTGAAAAAGTAATCCTTATGAAAACTATTCAGTGTGTGCTGTAGACCATCCAGAGATCTCAAACCCTGAGCAAATAAAACCAAACCTTTCTGTGTTGCTCGACACCACAGGTATATGTGAGATCTTTCTCTTCTTTGGGTGAACTGAAATGGTCAGCCAGGAACACAATCACGATGCTTGACAATAATGTATTTATTTTAAATGAAAATTGACACAAATTACACAATTTTGCATTTAAACCAGTTTGACAAAAGTTGGCTCTAATTCCACATTGAACACATAAACGCAGCAAAGTAAAGCTCTCTCTTTTAGGTCAGAATTCCTTATGACTGGACATTTTAGTCACTCTCATACAAATAAAAACAACACTGAAGTAAGTAGTCAAAAACATATTACATAATACAAAAATATCTCAACATGCTTCGCTTGATAGCCTTGCCATTATTCAATTGCATTATTGGAGTGCACCTGACGTGTACTACTGTTCTATGTACTGTTTAAATGCTACCTTTACAGTTGAGATGTCGGCAATAATCAAAAAGCCTGTCAGTTATCTGCTGCCCAAAGCAGCAGTGTATTTGTGTTCACGTGCTCTAGTCTGCTGGTTCAGTCATCAGTCGTGCCATCACCTTTTATACCAGCAGAGGCTCGATTCCCTTTGGTAAGATTTTTGATTTGATCGCAAATCTGGTGTTGAAATATTGTGGACAGAAATGTAATAAGTTGCTTGTTCGATAACATTTCAAAGCTTAAACATTGTGTATCAAGTTGAAAAACCACAAGGTGTGTTGAAACACCGCTACATTGCCATTTGATTGCAGACGGCCTGTGATTGACAAGCAGTGATCATAAGGTGCGACAGCATTTAAATTAGGTTTGAAATTCACCAAAACACTTTACAGCCAGTATTCTGTACATATTTGTCATATCTTTGTTGATGAGCTACAACTTGAGTCTGCTGTTATCATGCCCCCCCCCCTTATTATTATTATTATCATTTTTTGCCGTCTTTAAGCACAAACAATGCAGCTAAAGTGATGATTATGTCTCTTTGGAGCTCTGGTTGTTCATATGTTTACATGATTGTAAAGCCAAATTGTTAATGAATAAAAGTGTGTGGAAGCACACACAGCTAAATGACTCATTATTAACTTGATGTGTTGACACACTTACACGCTTGCACTGAAGTGCATTGAATTGTTCATAATTGATCGTAACTCATTCTGAACTTTGGTAAATTAGTTTTTGCCGAGGCTTCAAACTGAATTTTGAAGCGTCTCCAACATGAAACAGGTCATTGTGTGTTGTATAAACTTTCTGTGCACACGCTCAAGGGTTAACTCCGCCTTCAACAACAGACACGACAGTGAGCTTTGCTCCTCACCAGGTTAAGCAAAAGGTGAAATGTGGTCAGCTACAGTAAACAACTATCAACTCGTAATGTGTGTGTGTGGCAACAGGGAGAGTCCACCACAGCACATGTAAACAAAAGGGCAAGTCTTGTGTCACCCGAATAACAGTCTGTCCAGTGGCACAGTGGACGACTGGTCGCTGCTACACCTTCCATCAAATGCTACATTTGCCTCAGGCAGCCGAGTAGGCGGCCTCATCAGAGTCCGGGTCCCTGGCGCTGTCCTCACTGAGAGGCGAGGGGCAGCTCACGTCCGCGATCCCAGACTCTTGGTCGCTGCCGTTGGAGAGGTTGCAGTCCTGGGTCAGGAGGACCAGGCTGCCGTCTGGTGCTTTAGGCTGACAGGGGCTGCTGGTGACGAAGCCCCCGGTGTAGTCCTGAGGGGTGTTGGCCAGACCCAGGTCACTACCAAGAGCCCACGCTGTGGGGCTCTTAGCAAAGGCGACGGCTTCCTGGACTCCACTCCCCTTCTGCTCCAGCTGAGCAATTTTCTATTGAAAATGAAAGACATGAAGACTACAGTATAGTCCACCTTCTATAACCAGAGAAAAAAACCTGCAGTAGATTGTATTTTCTCATAATGTAGAAATGTAGAATTGATTCCCTTTATAGACCTGTCCTACCTGTTTGTGTGAAGCCAGCTGCTCCTCCAGCTGCTGCGTCTCCTCCTGGATGGCACTCAGATAATCCTCGACAGACTGCCGAGGATGCATCCCTTGGTCAAACCGGTTGTACAGGCCTCTCCAAGACCTGTGCGAAGCATTTACCACAGACTGTTTAAAATACTAGGAAACACATGTGTATACCAGGTTTTTAAAACTACGTGGGATGGGTTGCTGCTGTTTGTCAGGACCTACTTAAAGAAGTAGGGGGCAGTAGAGGGCCGGAGGAGCCCCTGTGTCTGGCTGTGGTCCGGTCGGTACAGAGGGTTGATGTAGTCGGTCTTGTTCTTCCACAGATAACTCCACAAAGAGTGAGTCCTCTCACGCAATCTGTATGAAAGGCAACAGAGAAAGACAATGTGAAAATCAAGATCGATAAAAGAAATGAACTGATTTAGAATAGCCTGCTTTTTTTTTAGCACAGAGTCGTCTCTATTTGCACAAACCCAGGGGCGATGCAATAAACCGCTGGCTGTCACTTCCCTTCAGCGGTCAGTCTTCCCTGACAAGATGTCTGCACTGTGAAAAGGAAAAGAAACTGCGGGTTTAAATCTCACCCCAGCTCTACCCTCTCCCGCTGGTTGTTGCCAATGAAGTTGCCGTACTGGCAGGAGTAGACGTGGCTGTGAATGGTGATGAGGAACCTCGCGTTGAACTCGAAGGCACAGGGGAACTGCTCCATGAGCTGCCACACGCACTCCAGGAACTGATCGATGACGGGGGACACCTCTTTGGGGTCACCGACCAGGTGGTTGCATCTGGAGAAGAGGAGAGGACGGTTCGATCACAACCAAGAAAATGATCGGGAAATCAGAGCTGCTATAATAAAAAAAAAAGTATAATATCTTCAGAGTCAAACCTGTGAGAGAACTTGTGTCCAAATGAGACCCAGTCTTTCTCAATGAGAACCTAAAAGAACAAAAAACACATTCATGTGCTGAAACAGAAGGAGGACCACAGACTCTGTATACTTTCAGCATGTCATGATTGAAAGGTTCAGACAAAGAGCACAGTAAATCCCTGCAGAATGACTGAGCCTCTTCACCCTCTGTGTGGGGTCATTTTTATTTAACTTTAGGCACAATTCCCAAAAGCAGGCTTCTCTATTATAATATTTTCCATAGTGGCTTTCGGTGGATTCCAAGTTGGCCTGCGCAAATCCTTCCGATCAAAGAAACAAGTCTTATTAGCCCCCTGCGGACTACTATCAGCTAAACCCGAATGTGACATTCACAATTATACTTAAAAGATGCAACTCTGCACTGTAACTTAAAACACAGAAAAAGGCAACGGTTGGTTATCTACCATGAGTCCTCTGAGGGTCCTGTAGTGAGGATCCAGCAGCACACAGGCCACTGAACACACCTGGGCAGTGCGGTCCCAACCGTCTGAGCAGTGAACCAGGACACTGACCCCCTCCTCTGCAACAGCCTGCACACACACACACACACACACACACACACACACACACACACACATAAATAAATACAGTCTGTGCAGTGCAACGAAAATACTCTACTCTATACTGTAATCAAAGTGTAAATATTAGCATTGATCGGTGCCAGAATTGTATCCAGAAACTTCCACTTCTTTTTTTTTTTTTCCAGTTAACAAAAATGGAGCAGTGAAGTTAGTAAGTTTAGGTGAACTTGGTTTTCTGCCTGTTATGCATTAAAACTATTAAAATATACCAACAGAAAAATGTAATCTCGGTAATGCTCAGTTTGAACGACACCAATAGCGCCATCGCTTTGAGATGGGATTATTAACCTCAAAACAAAAAGGCCAACATGTTAGAGGTACCCTGTGGAGTTTCTGACCAAGAGCAGGACGATGAGTTCCTGATGTGATGCAAGAGGACGAGGAGTTTATGCCCCTGGTTTCAGGCTTTTCCACTGATCGACGTTGGTGGCGCCAACGTGCCAAAAACATAGTAATATGTCCCATAAATGCACACATTGCATTTGAAATATATCTTTAAAATGACAAACAATAGAATAAACAACACTGCATCGTAGATAGGTGATTACATCGTGTTGCGTCTCAAGTTCCTCTTATCATGCGTTGTTAGAAGACACAGTTGGTTGAGCTGTTTGATGAATAATTAAAAGCTCTCTGGTAAATGGCAGTTTGGAGAAGAGAAGTTATCAGATCATTTATGTTCACTGATTTGCACCTTTCAGACACTCACTTCTTCCTGTTAGACTACATACAAATCCTGTCTCAGTCTGTTGAATTGAATGATCCCTGCCACAGCCATTCCCTAAATTTAACCGTGTACATTTTTAAGTATTCGACTGGTGGAGCATTGTCAAAGAAGTGCAATGTCGGAGGGGAGTGACCTGATGAACTCATTCTGGGATGCTGTTGAATTCTTTTGTGTTATACTGATGGGCGTCTCTATCATTTTGTCCAGCCCAGTTATATCTGTGAGGGTAGGCTGATGGATTTATTGCAGGACTGATGTATCAGACTGTATTAGTTTGGCCAGGAGCCCCTAATAACTGGCAACTGAGTGTCACACATACAGGATACAATGACCCCCCCCCCCCACACACACACATACATACACAAACACCTAAGCTAATATTGAGTGGCGCGGCGAAGCAGACAGCAGGGATTTAACCTCCAGACTGACCTTAGCGATGAAGATGCCTGCATCCAAAACAGCTTTGATGTGCTTCAGCCAGCCTGAGCTCTCCAGACCTTCCAGGAAGTTGGACATGGAGGGGGAACGCAGCTCACACACTGTAAGCACAACACAGCTGTCTCACTAGCAGGAAACAAGGAGCATACCTGATCACTGGACTTTATTAAACCCCACACTCACTTTCACAGGCAATTTCTAGGGAATCTGTGCACGGCATGAGAAAATATGGGTCATGCTGTTTCTTTCAAAAACAGATTGGTTCTAGGAATGACAATGTCTGGACTTGAACAATTGGATGTAAGGGATTGTCGTGCATTTTTGAACAGATATTCATGTTCCCCAGAGGATGGATCCTACTGATTTTAGTGAGCCCCTCGACTTTTCTTCTGGACCCATTAGCAGGTCAAAGCTTTCACTTGCAGAATATCTACGACATGGATTGGCACAACATTTCGTACATAGAGTAGATTCATAGTTCCCAGATGATGATCCTAAGGACATTGGAGATAACCGACTTTTCGTTTACTGCCACCATGAGGTTCATTTGTGGTTTTGAGTGAAATGCCTGAGCAACAACATAAAGAATCGCCATGTTATTTAGCGAAGCCATCCATGTTCCCCTCATGATGAACTTCAATCACTTTGTCGATTCCCTTAACTTTCCGTCTAGCGCCATCAACATGTAAACACCCGCAAAACCATCCACATTTACATCAGCCTCAGCTCTGCTTTGTGTTTAATGCTAATTAGCTAATGTTAGCATGCTGACACGCTAACAACACTACAAACGTGGCAAAGATATACCTGCTAAACATCAACACGTGATGTTGTTAGCATTGTCAGATAGAAGTTAGCATTTAGCTTAAAGGAAACACTGTTCTGCCTCACAGAGACGCTAGCAGTTAGTTTTGTTATTATGTATTTTATAATATGAATGGAAGACAAAAGCCATACTCACATAACAATAACACAAGCAAAACAGACAATCAAATAAAGATCCATTTCTGTACCACAAGGCTTCCTGCATTCGGTTTGTTTATCTTGTAAAACTGAAACCGAAAATTAATTTTTCTTTCCGTCTTCAGGGTTCAACATAAATATTTGCAAGTTGACTGAGGGGCAGAGTGACATGAACCAGTTTCTCCTCAGCTGACATTTCATTCGCTCAATTGTATCACATCACCTATTACAGAACTGTGTGCAAACATCTGCTCGCTCGTTGAGCAGAGGTGACACTGTATCAGTGTGCTGACCTGTGAGAGAGCGCTCTGAGGCCACTGATAGGAGAGCAAGCAGGTGAATGGGTTCATTCAACCTTTTATAAAACTAATAGGCCCCCCCCCCCCCACACACACACATACATACACAAACACCTAAGCTAATATTGAGTGGCGCGGCGAAGCAGACAGCAGGGATTTAACCTCCAGACTGACCTTAGCGATGAAGATGCCTGCATCCAAAACAGCTTTGATGTGCTTCAGCCAGCCTGAGCTCTCCAGACCTTCCAGGAAGTTGGACATGGAGGGGGAACGCAGCTCACACACTGTAAGCACAACACAGCTGTCTCACTAGCAGGAAACAAGGAGCATACCTGATCACTGGACTTTATTAAACCCCACACTCACTTTCACAGGCAATTTCTAGGGAATCTGTGCACGGCATGAGAAAATATGGGTCATGCTGTTTCTTTCAAAAACAGATTGGTTCTAGGAATGACAATGTCTGGACTTGAACAATTGGATGTAAGGGATTGTCGTGCATTTTTGAACAGATATTCATGTTCCCCAGAGGATGGATCCTACTGATTTTAGTGAGCCCCTCGACTTTTCTTCTGGACCCATTAGCAGGTCAAAGCTTTCACTTGCAGAATATCTACGACATGGATTGGCACAACATTTCGTACATAGAGTAGATTCATAGTTCCCAGATGATGATCCTAAGGACATTGGAGATAACCGACTTTTCGTTTACTGCCACCATGAGGTTCATTTGTGGTTTTGAGTGAAATGCCTGAGCAACAACATAAAGAATCGCCATGTTATTTAGCGAAGCCATCCATGTTCCCCTCATGATGAACTTCAATCACTTTGTCGATTCCCTTAACTTTCCGTCTAGCGCCATCAACATGTAAACACCCGCAAAACCATCCACATTTACATCAGCCTCAGCTCTGCTTTGTGTTTAATGCTAATTAGCTAATGTTAGCATGCTGACACGCTAACAACACTACAAACGTGGCAAAGATATACCTGCTAAACATCAACACGTGATGTTGTTAGCATTGTCAGATAGAAGTTAGCATTTAGCTTAAAGGAAACACTGTTCTGCCTCACAGAGACGCTAGCAGTTAGTTTTGTTATTATGTATTTTATAATATGAATGGAAGACAAAAGCCATACTCACATAACAATAACACAAGCAAAACAGACAATCAAATAAAGATCCATTTCTGTACCACAAGGCTTCCTGCATTCGGTTTGTTTATCTTGTAAAACTGAAACCGAAAATTCATTTTTCTTTCCGTCTTCAGGGTTCAACATAAATATTTGCAAGTTGACTGAGGGGCAGAGTGACATGAACCAGTTTCTCCTCAGCTGACATTTCATTCGCTCAATTGTATCACATCACCTATTACAGAACTGTGTGCAAACATCTGCTCGCTCGTTGAGCAGAGGTGACACTGTATCAGTGTGCTGACCTGTGAGAGAGCGCTCTGAGGCCACTGATAGGAGAGCAAGCAGGTGAATGGGTTCATTCAACCTTTTATAACACTAGTAGGGCGGCTTATGCTGCCAGGCGGGGGGGGG